TCGACGAGGGCCGATGTCTCCAGGTCGGCGGCGCTGGTTGTGGGTTTGTAACATTCGGAAATCAGAGGAAATGCAATCGTTGCTTGCGTGCGATTTTGGTGAGCTGGCGAGGCGCAGTCTTTGCCTATGTATATTCTGGGGCTGACGCCATTCACCGCCCCGGGGCTCATTGGGTGGCTTCTGGTCGGCAACGCCCCAGAAATATTAGGCCCAACAACCCACGCAAGGAACGCGCCCGCGGAAGGACCGCGCGAATTATCTATCTATTTTACGTTTATCGCATGGTGTATATCGATAAGTTGCTTACTCACCATCTTTAGTATAATTGGATAAGTTTGGCCCTTGAGACATTCACATGATATGACATGAGCGCAATTCGTGCGCCTCGCGTGTGCGACTTTAATGATTGATAACAAAACGTTATGGACCATCATCATCAATACCACCATGATATGATGTATGTGGTATCAAATTGATCCATTCATATCAACATTGATCCGCTGGTTTTTGTGCGATATTATATTGATCCGATTTCAACGTCTAAGACGCAAGGGGCTGGGCGGATCAATCTTGTTCATCCACCCGCCCTCTGGGATTGACGAGCATCTCAGAGGCGTGGGGCCCCCTGCGGGTCGGAGGCCCGTCTTGGAAGTTCCCCTCGACTTCCAGGCGCGGCGCTTGCAGTATTTGGTCAAAGGATCAGCGCAGGCCATGCGCGGCCAGATGCGGCTTGAAACAGCCTGGGCGCGGCGCAGTCAACCTCCCCGCGTTTCTTTTCGAGCCCGCAGTATCCGGAAAGATCGCGTCTCGGCCGGCCGTTTTTGCGCAGAGTATCAGGTCGACAGCCTGTCGACCTCGGTGCAGGAGTCGAGGTCCGTCTCAGGGCCTTTCAATTTGAAGCAGCTACCAGGGCCGTGGAAGCTCTCAGCGCGGCAAGTTCCTGCGACGCCCTTTCGAAGCGCGAAGGTGGGGCTGCTCGAGCGGGCCCAATCGGCCCGCCTCGCACGACCAGCGATCCGACGAGGTTTGGATTGCGAGCGGAAGAGATTTACGTTCTCTCTCCCGCGTGATCTCGCCGCTGCCCCCCCCCCCCCCCTTCCCCGACGATGGCAGCGCGTGGAACAGGAAAACGTGAAACACTGGAGCGTGCAAATAATGACATTCGAAATGCCGGTGACAAGCACTGTGACAAAAATTGGCTGGCAAATGGCATCGGTATCAGCGGTAGCTACATCAAACAGCTGAGCGAGATGATGACTGGCAGGCGCGCTATGACTTATCCCGCCAAGACGCTGCGATGAGGCTATGGACTAGGGCCCGCCATGGGCTCCCCATCTGGCTCCGCTCCCAACGATGCTACCACATTCCTCCAAAAAGACGCCCCCCCCCCCCCCCCCTATGTGTGTTTCCACGGTCAAGAGTAAGTGCTTCCTATCTGACGGTGCTAGGTGCTGTGGGAAGCCTGGGCGCAGCTAAGTGCGGCGCAGTGTGAACTCGGCGAGTGCACCTGGCGCGGCAGGATGTAGATTCATTGGTCGAGCTGCTCGCCATCCCTTGCGCGTGGGTGGGGTTTCCTGCGAGGTGCTTGACCTGGGGGAGGCACTGAAAGAGATTGTGCGAGCCGTGCATGATCTTGAACCCCTTTTCTAACGACCTATGCCTCCGGTGCTCGCGTCCGCTGTCGCGCGAATCTCTTGTCGCGGCGGGTGCGGATCAGGCGCATGAGCAGTTCAGTTCGACGTTGATTGGGCGAGCGTGGCGCGAAGTGGCGAAGAAGGTCCCCAAGCAACTGGGAACGGACGCTGCACTCGTAAACAGAGATAAAGAACATTATACTAAACATCCAGATCAGGAACACGAGCTAGCTATTACAACGTATCAATCGCAGATGTAGCCTCCACTATGCTAGCCTATGTTTGGTTATCTCTTGTGACGATGGGTGGGGTTGTTCATAAATTCAGAGGTTTACCGATTGGTGATGACTGTCAGGAGTAGCTCTATCGATACTACTAGCGTGACTTGAACTTCGTGCTTGTCGGGGGCCCAGGCAGGTTCGCGGTTGTGGTTTCCATGCATCGCCGACGCCGGGGAAAGTTGAGGTCCGCCAGCGCCGATATGTTGAGGACATCCCAGGTATCAGCAAGGTGTACTGCAGAAGATGCGTCTACCTCTACCTGTGCCAGGCCTAGCAGGTCAAGCCTTCCCCCGCCTCCAACATCGAAGACCCCCTAGCTCTATGTACTTGGCTGGGCCTGGACCTCTGGCCCGAAGGTGACGTGATTTCCATCGTCCCAGACGACGAGAACCGTGTGTGGCTCATCCAGGGTCGCGTGGAAGTCCGTCCCAAAAGCAACCTACTTCAATGGCCTGGGTGACCGCCGCGTGGCTTCAACATGATCGTCTCCCTAGTGACAGGCCGCCTAGCTCGGGCCCAGTACCTCGCCCTTCCAGTCCAGGTTGCGACGTCTTGGGTCCTGGAGCTCATGATGGGGGTTCCCTTCGACCTGCCTAGTGGCTTCCCCATAGGCTTGCTCATGGTCCGTTGCCATGCAGAAGGCCCGAGCGATCGAGCGATCGCGAGGTGCCGGTCAAAGTGCCTCCTCTCCTTCCACGAGGTTGGCGGAGGTGGCCCGCGTCAACCATGGGTGCGGACGAACAGTGGCCGTGGCAATGATGGGGAGGCATCGGGCCATGGCGCTACCTACCGCGGCTCGGACTCCACGGACTTCCTCCGTTCTAGAGGCCGCAGCAGCGACCGTGGCCGTGACCGCGATCGACGGTGCAGCCCTGAGCGCCTTGACCGCGATGACCGTGGAGACCGTGCACAGGGACTACCACGTGCACAGGGAAGTGCGCGACAATCGTGATTTTCGAGACGTCCGTGATTATCGAGATTCTCGAGATCATCGTGATCGCCGAGATTATCACGACAGAGATGGCTCCGATCACCGTGATTGTCGCGACGGTCGAAGCCGTGGCTCAGGGTGGGACAGCCGCGGCCGTGGGTCGCCACGTCCACCATCACGATCGGCAGGCCGTCAGTGGGCGAACGTCCAATGCCCCCGGGATGAGCTCGCCGCAGTCGATGCAGAGGCCAAGGCGCCCTTCAAGGGTAAGCATGACAAATCGAGGAGATGAAGCTTCGCAAGCAGAGCGAGCATGTTGCGCAGGCGATGAAGTCGAGCTCGGGGGACAAACTGCCCAAGCAATGGGAGTCAACGGGCGCTGACAGCAAAGGGGAAGTCAAGGAGAAGGAGACGGACCGCGAGGTGAGTCCGACTCCTGTGGCCCGAGCTCCCGGCAGCGCCACGCCCGCGAAGCGCCCCGAGCTCGGCTGGTCGCAGTCTCTCGTCGGCGCCAAGAAGCAGCTGCCCAACCGGCTGGCCCGAGTAGAGGCGGCGCAGGCGCTGGAGGCTCGGATGTCGGACAAGATGGTGGCGGCGCAGGTCAGCGAGCGCATCCAGGCCCGCTTCCCGAGGCGCGCGGTGCCCGTGGCGAATGCGCGCAGGGTCAGCCGCACCCTGGGCATTGGGGGCGCCCCCGGAACCTCGCCCCCCTCCCTGATTCAAACTCCGACGTCGGAGACCCGTGCCAGCGCAAGTATAGAATAACATCGGATCGAGCGCCTCGTGAGTCGATCGTGATCGGTTTCGTGCTCGGCATTATTTCGGCGTGTCTTGTTGGCCTGTTGTTTCCACTCAACGAGTGCAGCATGCGCTCTGTCCTCAAGGCGTACCTCACTCTGCATTGGACACATGTTCGGGAGGCGGGAACCCTCCAGGAGATTGCTAGAATGTTTTCGCTACTGTTTTCTATAGCCAACACTCAGGAGCAGGCGATTCCCCGCCACGTGATCACAGGCCTGGTTAGGGCCTCGACCCCCGCGATGGCAGGCCAGCTCCCTCTAGGAAGTGCAGTTACCCTCCCCCCCCAGGCTGGCGTCGTCCACCCCCTCTACCCCCTCTCTCTCCAGGCACCGCGCGTCGGAGGACCAAACAGGTTTGTGATGCAGCTTCAAAGACCTTGATCTGAGGTCAGGTTTCGTGGCAGCGGATGCCCCTGGCTACCTCGCGTGAGCCCAAGACCTGATGGGCGGCTGCCCCCGAGGAGCGAATCTGTGAGTGTCCCGTGGGAGGCGTGCCCAAGGGTCCTTTTCCCTCTTCTCCGCTCCCTCCTTGAACCTCAAGCTTTCCCCCTTTCGCCCTTCCCCTTCCTTGACTACTTGAGATCACAAGTGATTTTCTGCCCTAGCCACATAAGTGACGTAAGTAGGTCTCCCAAGCTGTACCTTGGAGACGAACTCCGATCTATGCGCGTTATGTCACTCGTCTTCTAGCCGCACGGGGGAGGGAGGTAGGTCTCGCAAGCTGTCTCTTGGAGACGAAACCCAAACCGTGTGCTTTTGTGCTGTGTGGCCCACACTTCTGGTCACCCCAGGGCGGGCGCATGTCCTGGCACGCCAGAGCCCTGCACTGTGCTGAGTTCCTCCGGTTCCGAGCTCTCGTGGGTAACGTGAGGGATTCGAGGATCTCTTTCCTCCCAGGACCCTCCCCCCGAGCGATCCCAGAGTCGGACATCCCGATCGAGACCTTCCGCGAGGCGCGCGATGGGCATCTCTCTCTCTCTCTCTCTGTGTCTCTTTCTCCCACCCTGAGAGATTCATGCAACTGGTCATTCTCCCTTTCCTCTCCATCTCCTTCCATAGTGTTTTGGACCGGGCCCTGTTCGAGGGTGCCATCCGCCCACGGCACGCTCATAGCGGTTGGCATGGTGTCAGTCTGACATCGTCAGGCTCTCGACGGATTGGTTCGCGGGCGTTGGTTTGTGTGTGTGGGCAGAAAAGGGGAGTTTCTCTCTCTCTCTCTCTCTCTCTCGTCTCTCCCCCCTCATCTCGCCACTCCACTCCTGCCCGCCGTTGATATCTACTTTCTCTCCGTGTGAATACATATTTGCGTGTACGCATAAACCTCTCGGGATCAACAAGTTTCATGGCTCCCAAGGCTGGGGGTTGTGACCCGGATTTCTTGGCCGCCTCCTTCTTCGCCTATTGCGCCGAGTCGCTGGCAGAGGCCCTCGGGACATTGCGGCGGCATCCATCGTAGCCTGGGCCCTCGATGCCGAGGCACCAGAACGTGAAGAGGGAGGGTCATGAAAAGTGAGGAGGAACAGAGTACGGAGACACATGTCTTGTGAGGTTTACCACAGGCAGAGCATAATTTGAGAAACGTGTCTTCAATGTGAGAGCGGGACAAAAGTAAACGCAGCACGCGTCACCGTTCCCTTGCCAGAGGGTGAGCCTTTTTGCCTGATCCAACGCACCTCTCTGGACCGGCTCTTGGGGCTTTTGAAAGGGAAGAACGGGGCAGCGATAGCCAATGCAGGAGCCGAAAGAAGCCGAGGCAGGCCGGGGAAGGAGATGGGCAGTGGCAAACGAGGCATGACTCTGGCGGGAGGGTGTCAGACTCGTAGCGAGGATCGAATGGTGGTCTGGTTCTCGTCAGGGGCACAGTAACCATGGCGACTGCGATCTGGCGTGCGAGGCGGGTGAATCTCATATTGTTGACGCTTCGCGTATCACCACCAGCCCCACCACCAGCCCATCCAGAAACGATGCCTAGGGGAGTTGAGGTGGTCAGGGAAGTAGGGGAGCACGCAGAACAACAAAGGGTAGGGGAAACCGTCATATACCCCAAAGGGGTAGGATGGAGGAGGAATCGTCGCCGTCGTCGTCGAAGTCGTCGTTGTCGGGGGAGGAGGGAAACGAGGAGGATGAGGTGGAGTAGGGCGATGGCGATGAGGACGAGAAGGAGGAGAAGGAGGAGAAGGAGGAAAAAGAAGGTACCTCGGGGATCCTTTTGAGGCCTCGTATGGGGTCTCTTGGGAGCCTCCTGGAGGCCTCTTGGGGGCGTCTGGGCGCCTCTGGGGGCCCTCTTGGGGCGCTCTTGGGAACTTCAGCGGCGCTCTTGGGGCCATCTTGCAGGACATCGATCAAGAACGTGGGGAGCTCCAATTAGCCTCCTCCCTCGCAAGCACCGAGCATCGCCTCCTGGAGCCCTATTGGAGCGCTCTTGGGGCGTTCTTGAGGGCTTTTGGGGCCGTCTTGGAGCTCTCTTGGCCTCTCCTGGGGCTCTGTTGGGCCATTTTGGAACCACCTTGAGGCCTCGAATGGCCATCGAAAGCGAAATGGCGAGACAGCAACCAGCATTGATTCTCCTTAGGTGTTTGAAGGATTTGGGCCTCTTGGGGACCTCCTTGCCGTCTTGGAACGTTTTTGGGGCCTCTTGGAGCATCTTTGGAGCCATCTTGAGGCATTTTAGGCTATCTTGATCCATCATCGAGGTCATCTAGGAGCCGTCTTGGTCGATCTTGGACGCTCCAACTACCCGCGACCACCCCCGTCCAGGTCCAGGGGTAGGGAGTAGGGGGTAGGGGTATACCCATCCCCGAAGGGGAAGAAGGGGGGTTGAAGAGAAGCCGCTCTAGACCACCTGTGCCCCGAGGGCTGGTGGGAATTCAGCGTGCATCTTCCCCAATGCTTGCAGACAGCTGGAGACGAACACCAGCAGGTAGTGGAACCGCAATGCTGGTGTGCTCCTTCCTCCTGACCCACCTTCTCCTACAAACCGACACGCGCCTTCTGCAGAAGGATGCAACTGTCCGGGCGCTCTTCTCACAGCCAACCACGAGACAGGGGATGCATACACATGTTGTGTAGCATGCGTGGGTATATATGTATGTTAGCCAGTGCAGGCCATACACATTGCGGTATGTAGCTCATGCGAAGTAAGCTATGTCGCGCAAGCTCGGCGGCGTGACCGGGAACTGAAAGCTATGGGGTGTGAGCTATGTGGTGTAAGTTATGTCGTGCATTCGATGCGGTTCAGGCTATGTGGTACAGGCTGCGTTGTGTAAGCTGCTGGGTGACAGCTACGCCTTCCGAGCTCGAAGGACAGGCCGCCCACGAGGCGCCCACAAAGCGGCAAGGGCGGCAGCGTGGCGCAGCCTGGTCAGATCCTTCCTCCCCCTCCCCCGACAACGGGGCGCCCACGGGGCGGCTTGGCCCGGGTCGCGGCGCCACCTCGGTGTGCCGCCCCCCCCCCATTCCGCGAGCTGGGCGCCCACAAGGCGCCGAGGGGGCGGCACCGGCGGCAACGGGGCGCAGCCTCGGCACACCCCTGAATCGCGGGGCGCCCACGAGGCGCCAGCAAGGCGTCACGGGCGGCAACGTGGCGAAAGCCCAGCGTATCAACCGGCTTCCTCAACGAAGAGAAGGGCCCCGAATTGTGAGCACTGTTCGGGAGCAGTGTGTATATATATATATATATATACATATATATATATATATATAGGTATATACATGCAAACACACACGGATAGAAAGGGGCATTGGGAGCAAGAGAGAGTGAGAGGGAGGGGGATAGAAAGAGGGAGAGAAAGAGAGAGAGAGAGAGAGAGCGAGAAGGAGAGAAAGAGAGAGAGAGAGACCGGACAAGTAGGCGGACCAGGGTCCGTCCGCGAGGCGCACTGCGGTGCGACAACCCGCAAAACACTATTAGCGGCGGTGCAGCCTTAAGATACGAGGGCGGGCAACAGACCCCCTCCCCCGGCGCATTGCGTCTGAAGCTACGGACGGCGGACAGACTGTGAAGATCTCACGTGTCAGACCGCGTGACGAAGAAGGCCCCAACAAGAAAGGCGACGTGCGGACACGTGGCTAGGCGGCTTGGCAGACCGCCAGTTGGGCGCTTGGCCGCAGCGCGGCGCGCAGGGACGGGGCACCCCCCGCCCCCACGCCCTGACACCGTGGACGCGGGGCCACGCGTGCACACGGGCAGGAAAAAGAGAGAGAGAGAGAGAGAGAGAGAGAGAGAGAGCGAGAGCGAGAGAGAGAGAGAGGCGCGTAACCTGGCAAGTCTGAGCGATGAGCTCTAACCCGCAGCAGCACGAGTTGTGCCAGAGAAGCGAGCGAGCAATTGTGAAGGAACGCGTGATGATGAGTTGCGCGAGCACATCCAGCAATGGGCATCGTATCGCAAATGCTTGCGCCACCCCCTAACCCAAGAGGGGCTGCTGTCCAAATGGTCGCAGCTGCTGCTGGAGGTGCTCAAGGATGCCGCCCCTCCCCCCCGAAGGAGACCGTGACCCCTGGCGTCATGAGATAAAAGTGGCCGGCGATTTCCCTGAGCTTTGCATGAGGCGGGTTCCTGGATCCTTCCGACTCGACCCGGTGCTGGAAGCCGTGCGCCAAGATCCCGCTACACGTGAGAGTGGGCCCTCGCCGGCGTGGCCTGTGATGCGCGGCCTTCGGGGGGGGGGTGGTCGAGGGGGGGGCGGCCAGGGACGGGATTCGCGCGCAGGCCGTTCACGTCGCAGCGCAAGCAACGATCGGCACACTGCGCTCCGATGGTCACGGCTGCTGAGGGTTTGTGGGGGGGCGAAGACGGCAGCACCGCTGCTCCCTGGGCCTCCTTCGGGGCGCCTTCGGGCCAGAAGTGTAGAGCCCAGAGCTCAGAGCTCGAGCCGCGCGACATCTTCTCTCGCGGCGGCAGGGGTCTCGGGCCGCCGCCGTCGCCCGCGCGAGCTCGGGCGGGGCCAGGACCTGGACACTCGAGAGTGCTTCGGAGCGCTCTCGGAGCGTTCCCGAGCGCTCTGGAACAGCCGCGGCGCCGGATGCACTCTCCAGGGCCGCCAGTTCTCAGAGATCCCCGCTTGCGCTTGGTCCGACGTTGTCGCCGCCATGGTTTGGTCTTCCTCTGCCGCCCCGCTCGCCTGCCCACGGGCCCGTGGGCTCGCGGTTTGGCCCGAGGCGGTCCTCGCGCGAAGCGCCTACCCCTCGAGACTGCGCATCGTCATATGGCAGTCACCCGCGATGAGAAGTCGTGCCGTGCGAGATCGTGGGGCAGACTCTTCGTCCATCTCTGGGGGTCCCCAAGGCGCCCCTGGGCTGCCGAGGGCCCCCCGCGTCATCGGGGGATGAGGAGCTTCCGCGGGGCGCCTGCGGGCAGGCCCATGTCTCTTGTTCGACGTGCCTGCCGTGGACGAATCCCAGAGCCCCGCTGGGCCACTGGGAGGAAGCTTTGCACACGAGTGCCCCGCGAGGGTGCGGACAGCGGACAGAGGATCTCTCGCTTTCTCTCTCGGGTCTCGCGGCATCCATCCCCACCTCGAGGGGGGTATGCTGGTTACGCCAAGGGACCCTGGCCCGCTGGGGACAGGACAGGGGTGGCGATGTTGGGTGTCTGTTCCAGGGACGGGGCTCGCCGGGAGAGGGGGAGCCCAGGCGCTGCTCGGGCGCAGCGGCGTGCGACTTGGCGCCCGAGACGTGGCCGCTGCCGTCGGGACGCCTGGGTGCAGGAGTGCCGCACGAGCCAGGAAGGCGCGGACACAGCTACGATTCGTGCCGTATCGACGCGGCGGTGGCTTGAGCACGAGTCCTCAAGGTTGAACGCCGCCGGTGGCCGCGAATCCGCCACTATGGAACGACCTGGCGATCGGAAAGCCACCGATCAGTCAAGGGTGAGCGATCCACACGGTGTCAGGAACCACTGCCCGGGTCGTCACGATTCGAACTTGCCGTAGGAAGTGCTCTTTCACGCCTCATTTTCCGCCTCCTCCGATCAACTTCTCGGCCAGCCCCCTCGTCCTCCACGAGCACGCACTCGCTGACTGGGTCGCCGGCGAGCTCGGGTGCTCCTCCTTCGACGCCGGTGGTGGCGTCTTTCCGCCAGTTGCATCTGCTCACGTGTGGGTTTCCTCCGTGGCAGCTCTAGCTTGAAGTCGGGCCTGTCCCTCTACAGTGGGAAGATCTCACATATTTAATAGTCTGGGGACGAGTTTTGTCCCATGTTTGATCATTTTGGGGTATGTCTTGACTATTTCCTAAGTTTCGCCCCAAATCCGCCTGTAGGGGGGGTCCCTCCCGACCTACCTCTAGCTCCGACCAGAATGCAAACTCGACGCGGGGGAGAACTCACGCATGTGCCCCGCGGGCGCCTCGCGCCGCTCTCGCCCCCCCCGCGAATTTGCGCACGCCCTGGACGCCGCGGTCTGCCTGCAGCGCTCCCCAGTGCACACCAGCACCAGCACAGCTTGCCGGCTGGGGCGTGGTCGTGACGGTCCAGTATTCCTGGGATGTTTGCTGCGGGAGCTCACGTCAAATTCCAGATCGGGCCTCGTCATGTTTATGATGGCCCCGTCAGGCCAACCCGAGTCCCCCGTACCCGAGCCTTACGTCTCCCCGGCATCGGTTGCAGCTGGCTGGAATGCCAGCCGCGTCGCGGACGCCGGCGGAGGTTCATGCTCGGGGGGCGTCGGCCTCTGCTCAGGAGGGAAAGAAACACACAGACACAATTGATCGTCTCTTCCCAGGAAAATATAGGAAAATATGGGAAGTGGGGGGGGAGACAGAAACCCAGAAAATATGGGAAAATAGGGGGAATCGTTTTATTTGTGTGTATTTATTTGTGTGTCCTGGGGCCCCTTCATGGAATGCCGTCACGGACGCCGGCGGAGGTTCATGCTCGGGGGGCGTCGGCCTCTGCGGCGACCGAGGAGGGGACCAGAGCGTCCGGGCCTGCGCGCGCGATTTTTTCCGAGGCGGCCCCACCCTGGGCCCAGGATCGGTGCATATTTCAGGAGGAAAAGAAACACACAGACACAATTAATCCTCGATTCCCCAGAAAATATGGGGAAATATGGGCATTGGGCGGGGAGACAGAAGCCCAGAAAATATGGGAAGATATGGGGGGTTATTTTATTTGTGTGTATTTATTTGTGTGTCCCAGGGCCCCTTCATATTGGGGGAACGGACGACGACACAAACAGAGAAACTCAAAGGTCCGCGCGGATTTCTCGCATCGGCGTTGGACCCCCCTGCCTGGCGCGCGGAGCGCGCCAGGGGCGGCGCCGGAGGCGCCGCCAGGGAGCCCCAGCGCCATTCCGAGAAGTCCGCGCGGACCTCCGAGTTGTTGTGTTGATGCCACTGTTCGTTCTCCTGCATATGCCCTCCTGGGCTCCAAACCAGACTGGGCTGGCTAGGGAACCGCGCGATCGATCCGTGAGGATCCCCCGGCCAGGATCGGGCCAAAAGCGCCCGTCGCGTTTTCTTCACGACATCCGGATGTGAGGGCCCCTCTCTGGCCATTCATCCCTGGGAGCGGATGTGAGAGAGTTACGGGGGGTCTCCAGGAGGGGGCTGTGGACGAGAGGGGATGTGGACGTCATGGCCGAAGCCATGCGCCTCCAAGCAATTACGGCCCCCTCTGTTTCTTTCCGTGCGTCCCCTGCCACGATGCGCCAATCCCCCTCGTCTTGGCCCCCTGTTCCGCGCGGGCCTAATTCGGGATGGGCACGGAGAGGTGTGGAGGACCGCAGACGGCCCCTCTCTGCACGACCGCGCCGCTGGGAGGACGCGGGCCACCTCCACTCCAGCGAGGACTGCTCCGGCTTATGAGAGGGCTCCCCATGATTGTTCGCTTTCTCCGTCCCTGCTCCGCCCCCCTCCTGCTTTTCCCTCTCCTTGTTCTTCCTCTCTGATTATCTCCTCCTCCCCCCTCCTCAGTCACTCCTCCTCCTTCTCAGTAGCCATGTTGGCTCAAGGTAGGCGGCTGCGAGTTTTCTCCATCTCCATTCCCACCCCGATGGGTGATCCTCTCCTCGCTGCTCTGCGTGTCATGGGCCGCAAGCATGGTATGTCCGTGGGCAACTCCTTGGTCTACGCCATGGCCATCACATCTGCTGTCGCTCTTCGCGATGCGGTCTGGCTTGGCTACGTCAAGAGACAAGACCACCCAGCTTTCGAGCGTCGCGCGCAACATGCTGTTCGTGGCCGTCGCCTTTCTCACGACCTCAGCTCCCACATCGGGGTTCATTGTCATATTCCTCGCCGAAGGAGTACCAGCTTATTCGGGACATCGCCGAGAACCGCAACGCCAGCTCGCACAAGGCCTGGAACTCCACCGTCAAGTTCAAGCCCAAAAGTGATTTTCAAGCTTCTGCCCATTCTGCTTTGCGTGCTCCGGGCAACGGAACCTCGTCGGAGTTTCCGACGCCGGCGCATCCAGGTTCTAACCGTATTTTGCAGGACGCGGTGCAGAAGGACGTACCGTTTGGCAAGTTCGTGCTGACGGTTGGCTCTGGAGGTGGTCTCTATCGCGCCGACGCTGTTTACTACCCGCGCGTGTTCCACCATGGCTGAGTTGCGGTCGGATCTCCAGAAGCTGGAGTCCGCACTTGCCGCAAACGAGCAACGACGACGGGGAGACCAGCGTGCCATCGATGGCCTCCTCGAGCAGGTCAGCGACCACACCATAGAGTTCAAGCAGGGCTTGTCCGCGGTCATCGCCGCGACCGAGCTCAAGTTCACCATCATCGTGGGCCAGCTGCAACAGCCGCCGAAGCATGTCGCACTGATGAACGAGCCCATTTCCATCATCGGCAAGCACCACGGCGACCCCCTTTGGAGTTGCCGCAAAACGCGCACGGCCGACCTTGCCGTGAACACTTTGCCCGACATGCATTTGGTTTCTGATTATGCCGTGCTTGTGATCGCCGACGCTGCGCTGCTCAGCGCGCCCGCCTCCACCGACTCAGCGCCGAACAGCATCCAGATGCAGAGCGTCCGCCAGAAGGGGCTCCCGCCCGACAAGAAGGAGCTGCAATGTTGCCTACAGGGTGATGTCCGATTTCGACGTCATCGCTGACAAGCGCAGGACCCTGCTAGTAGCATGCTGGGAACACTGAGATCGCGCTCAAGTGCGCCACCGACTCCGGCGACCTGATGCCGGTCAACATTCAGAACCAGTACGACGACCTGATGAATTTCCCGCATGACGGATCGATGGGCACGTTCGCAGTTCAGGATTCGACTGGATGCGAATCGCTGGAGGAGGTACACCCACTCGACAAGAAGAACCTGCCTTCCATCATCACTGCTGCCTCCCGCGTGGTTTCCGAGTTCGGCGCCATGGCCGATAAGCGTAAAATATTCGCCCTCGCCAGGTCTGTGAATACGGGGCCTGGGCTCAACCACGCCATCGTCTCCGACGACCTGCTCTCGATCAACACGCAGAGCCACTACGACGACCTGCTGAATTCCCCGCGTGACGGCTCGCAGGACCTGGCCGGAGTTAAGGACCCGTTTGATTGCGCATCATTGGAAGGTCTCATTTGCACCGCAATGTGTTCCGGCGATGTTGATGGCAGCCCCACCACGTCGGACAGGTCCCAAGCGGACTCGGAGACAGACCCTGAGCTCTTCGCCTCCAGCAACCCTCAGAGCAGCGACTTCCCCACCTCCGTTTTCCACACCCCCTACAAGATGAACGTTGGGTGCTGCACCGCAGCGCCCGCCCCGCGCGCGCGGCCGTGCTAGGCCCGTCGGACGTCCCCGCAAGGCGACGTTCGCTCTTCCTCCTCCTCCTCCTCCTCCTCCTCATCCTCCTCCTCATCCTGTTCGTCCGTCGCCTCTGATCCCCCATCTCATCTCTCACCCCTGCTCTCTCATCCTCATCCCTCGCCCCATCCCTCACCTCTGATCCCTTGTTCCGCCTCATTCCATCCTCCGTTTCCTGATTCTTGGGTCGGCGTTCTACCCGCTTCTCTTGCCGATATTTTCCCACACATTATTCATCTGCTGATTACCCTTCCACGCTCTCCCCCTCCAGATGCACCCTGACCATGCGCACCCTTATCAATCTCCCCAGGTTCGCCACTCATTGTTCTCATCCGCGAGGTTTTCATTTTCAATTCCCCGGCTAGTTTTCCCCAGTTTCTATCTCCCCCAAGCGTCCTGTCATCCCTCCCCCCTGGCCTCCACTCCTTTTCCGTATTTGTCACTCCCGTGGACAAAATGAAACAGCATTTGGAACAACGCGCATTTGAGAGCATCTTGGGCGTATGCAGCGCGCGCATCGGACACACCCGTCACGAAGCGTACCAAAAAAATCCACGGATTCTCTCCAGGACGCTGATAACGCCGCTGGTTGCACACGCGTCGTGACGCAGCTGGTAAAGAAAGGCGTATTGCAGGCCCAGGCCTGCTGATCTCGGGGGGCAGCACAAGGAAGGATGAATGACTGACGATGCGATGTTCGTCACCACTTCCCCAACTGCAGAACTGCGGCGCCCAACGCCTTTCGAACACTGCCTTTGTCCCAGGTGCGAGCTACCTTCTTCTATAGGGCGAGGGGCTGCAACCTCAGATGGTCCCAGGTCGGATCTGGCTCATCCATAACTCGCCCACCGATTCTCCAGACAGTGCTTGCCCAGATGGTTTCTTGTGTGCTTCCTGGGTAACTGACCTGCGTTCCACGAGTCTCGCTTGGTGGGCGCCCGTGCCCGTTTCTTGCTCGCCCCGTGCGATGGCTGGCTGGCCCTTTCTGGACTTTCGGCCCGTCGGCGCCTTGGCCCGCCTGGTGCCCGGCGTTTCTGGACTGTTGGTTGGCGGGCGGCGTTGGTTTCCTCGTGCTTGCCCTGTGCGCTCGGCTGGCGTTCGTGGGCTTGCAACACATAGCTTGCACCAAACAAGAGGCATCATGAGGCTTCCGCCGCATAGATTGCACGACGTCGATTGCATGAGTGACACAGATTGCATCGCATAGGCTGCACCACAGAGCTGGCACCACAGAACCTCCACCGCATAGACTGCGCCAGAACTCTTGCAACACTTAGGTCCCCCTACCCCGAATAATTATTTAGAATAATGAGATTTCCCCCTTTTGCAGAGGCCAGACTGATATTCCCCCCTCTGCGTATGACGTTGTCCTAATCACATAGGCTTACGTTGGACTGTCGTTCATTACACCATGCTCGCCAGGCCGTTGTCAGGTCCCCTTATCTTTGGCAAGCGAAGCCATGCGGTGCACCCGCGTTGAGATGTTAAGCCCGCTTCGAATCCCCACCTAATCATGCCATGAGGCCCACATGCGCGCGCACATGTGAAACCATATGTAGTAGAAGTCTGTGCAGAATTGTTCCATCACCTATCGGTCTCCACTAAAACATGCCAGAAGTCGAGTTCACTTGCGCACCCGCTGATATCACACAAACACCGTATGTTTTCGTCGCCATTCTGGCAGGAGGGCCATGCGGGTGGTACGCGCTCGCATGTCTCATGTTTTGTGCACGACCGTTCATCTTATATATGTACATGTATATCTTTATGCACATACATGTGCATGTCTACATCTATATGTGTATAGCAGAACCATTCCGAGTGACCGCGTATCGACCTCCTCTTACCCCCGTCTAAACAATGTACGCAGTCGCTGATCAAAAAGGATCCATTTACAGTAACCATTTTCCCCAACATACCCTACAGCCCACACGCGTGCACATGTGAAAATCAGACAACACACATTAGTACTGCACGCGTTTCAACTAATGACAGCAACAGCCTTGTCACACAACGTGCCCGCGCGCATTTGCTGAAAACACAGGCCAACCATCTAATTTTAGGAAGCTCGTCCAGAACCCGCATTCTCATCTCTGCACGCGGTTCACCTGCACCTGCGCTGATCTGGGATGCGCGCAGTGCGCGACGCCGTACCAAATCATACCATGCGGGCATCGCGCGCGCCGCCACGCGCACGTGCAGAATCCCTCACAACCAGTGGTGTATGAGGTAGTTCACGATAGAGCAATGCAAACAAGATGTGCAAACCATAAGCCGTTCAGATCTGCCAGAGTTCTTGGATGATTGCGCGCACACTTCCTCATTACCCGCATCACCACCATCGAATCGCAACTTTTATCGTTGTCGTCAATCGCCACCGTTCACACCATCCTTAGCCAAGCACTTCCATCGCCGGCACATAGGCATCATCATCGTCATGGGCATCGCAAGCACCTTGCCGTCGTAATCGCCATCATCACTACCACCATCGCTACTGTCATCATCGTTGTCGCCGTTGCCGACGTCATCATGTTATCGCGCCCGCCTGGATCCCCGACCCGCACTGCAGCGCCCGCGCGCCAGCGCGGCCTTTGAGACACGCAGGGGAGATTCCATCGGTAAGTCGCCTCCTCTTCGTCCTTCTCCTCTTCCGCTCGGCGCCCGTTCCAAGCTCCGCCTGGTGGGGAGCCGAGGCTTCCGTTGGGGGCCCAAATGGGGGCTCCTACCGGGTTCCAACTGGTCCCCTGGGCGACACGAGATGCAACATATTATTAATACAATCCTTCTCCTTGTTGGGGAGGTTGTCGTGTTAACAGTGTGTTGTATGTTGCTCTCCCTGGGTACCTCTTGGAGCCCGTTTGGGGCCCTCCCCGGGGCCTCGTGGGCCAGCCAGGGGGGCTCGGCCGGCGCTCTTCTCAAGTTCCAATTTACATGCAGTTGCGAGTTCTGGCTTAGGCCTTCGGTTGTTCCGCGCAGCATCCGTGTACACTTGCCTTCACCTCCGACTGTGCCTCGTTGGCCTCACACTGGCTCGCCGGCGGCCGCCGCCTCGCGGTTTCCACATTGGACGTGTGGGCATTCGTTTTGTCAGTGTGTCCTCTTCTCTTCGTCCTCCTCTCTCTGCTCCCCCGCCCTCTATTCTCCTGCCATGGTGAATGTATTGCTGGGCCGTTGAGGCCATCCAGTACGGGTCTGTTGCACAACAGTGTGGCCGGCCAGGGGATGATACGTTTTGGGTGTAATTCGTTTCTTTCGCCATCTGAGTTCTCTCTTCTCCTTCTCCTCCTCCTCCTCCTCCTCCTCCTCCTCCTCCTCCTCCTCCTCCTTCTTACCCTGGCTTGTGAAGCAGCTGCGTTTTGTAGTGTATGTTGTATGCACGAAAAACGAGTACTTGCAGTGAAGTTTCCGGTCGTGTGTTTGCCCTTCGCACGGGCCCAGATTATTGTCCATGCTTTTGCGGTAAAGTGTCTGGTCGGCCTTCGTGGGTGCCAGAGCTGAGTTTGTTTGCGTGTGGCGCGGGATAGCCTCCACGAGGAGCAGCTGACGTTTCCCTTCTCCTGCTGCTGCCGCCGTTCTCTGCGGGGGGGGGGAGTTTCCATCGGTAAGCGCCATCGAAGCCGCATCAGTTGCGCCAAACCAGTTGGCCGCTCTGCGCCCGAGCATGCGCGCGCCAGCGTGGCCGCAGAGATACGCCAGCCAGTACCAAGCAGTTACCTCAATCGCGGACGCACGTGTCTTGCAAAACATATACACGCGGATTACAGTGCATGAGCTGAGCCATCGGCATTGGACCACAACGATTGCATTCCACAGACAGATTGTACCTCAGTGTACATAGGGAGTGCGCGAGCCCATTGCTTCGGTCCACGCTGGCAATCCTAACGAGATGGGAGAAATCGAGGGGTCGGAATAATCACAACTGAACGCAGCTGTGTCGGCTCTTGCGCACGATCGGGCTTCAAGGCTCATGGCTCCAATCACTCGAGTGCCATTCTGTCAAGCCTCGGTTGGGGCGACAGGGGATGCGAAGGATAACCCGTGAAACCCATTGTGCGTATACTTGCGTGTCACATCAGCAATGGCCTCCATCCCACCGTCTTCTGTGCAGGCCCTCCACGTAGAGCCCAGCTAACAGGCACCAGGTTCCCCCTCCAAGCATGCGGGCCCTGCATGTGTCTTGGGGTACAGGTCGAATTGATCCTCACCCCACCGCTCTTTCGCACCAGTTAGTTCAATACTTCAGCTTTGGCCCCGTGGTTGCACGTCGTCGCCCACAGTGATGTGGTGACCCTTGCCCCTGGATGGCGTATCGTCAGGGCAGCTGCGCTGCGAGAATTGGCAAAAACCCACGCTGCGGTGGCGACGAGACGCATTGCACCTCCCACCCCCATGTCATATCGGCACGGAGATGCGGACGGTGTGTAGGCGGATATTGATGAGGGCAAGAAGGAGGACGAGGAGGAGGAACCGAGGAGGAGGGTGAGGAGCAGATGGTTATAGTGGGGGTGGAGGACAGGGGAGAGGGGGGGAAACAAAACGGTCGAGCAGGAGATGACATGAACTGATTTTCCAGGGGTGGGGGCAGGACCTCTTGTCCTTTGGTGAGGAGGGGGAGGGCAGCTTTCCATTGCGCGTGCTCTTGGCTTGCCAGGGGCGCAGTGGGGAGGGATTGGGGAAATAGGGAGGGATGAGGAGAGGCAGAATGAGAGATAGAGAGATGTAATGATACAGACAGGGGGAGGAAGAGAAACAGAGAGAGAGAGAGAGAATGAGAGGGAATCAGCGAGATAGGAAGAGAGAGAGAGAGAGATAAAGAGAGAAAACAAAAAAGAGAGAAAAACAGAGATAGAGAGAGAGAGAGAAAGAGAGAGAGAGAGTGAACAAAGCAACAAGAGAGAGAAAGAGAGAGAGAGAGAGAGCGAACGATAACGAGAACGAGCGAGAGAGAGAGAGAGAGAGAGCGAGGAATGATAGGATGAGGGAGGGAGGGAGGCGGCAGACAGGATGGCTGGGGAGGGGGGGAGGAGGGACGGCGGGAGGCGCGGAGGACTGTGAGAGGGAGCGGGCGCACACGGGTGGGAGGGGGGGGAGGAGCAGAGAAGGCGGGCGGGAAGGAGGGGGAACGGGTCGCGAGAGGGGGCCGGGTCGCAGCAGGACGGGGGGAAGGAGGACAGGAGCGGGGACAGATGGGGCTGATCTCTCGTCCACCGGAGCGGCTGTCCCCCCAAGGCTTGGGCGCCCGCAGCGGGAGACCAGGTTCTTGCCGTGCTGCCAGAGGACCAGGAGTGGCACCTGGCCGTGGTGGACTCGGCGTCGCAGGGTGCCTCCGGCTCTCTTCCAGGGCTGCCTTGCCGGATGCTGGCGGGCAGTGGGACGTGGACCAGCCGGAGCAGGAGCAGTGCGGAGAAGCAGCGGTGCAGAGGGGAGGGGGGAGAAGGTGGAGTTGGTGTGAGAGGCGGATGGGGCATACATGATACATGTACGGTAGGTTCGTATCGTGTCGACGCGGCGGCGCGCCCAGCGCGGGCGTTCAAGGTTGAACGCCGCCAGTGGCCCAGAGCCCAGAGTCAACCGATACGGAACGATCGGGCTATCACAAGAGCCGCCGATCGTTCAAGGTGGAGCGATCCACGCGATGTTGGAAAACCAACGCCGGGGTCGTCATGACACGCACCTGCCGTGCCTAGACGGCGGGTCTGGGATGAGCGGACCTGGGCATTCGGGCTACCCGCGCCGCGTGTCGAGCAGGCCGCCTCCAAGACGCGATCAGCGACGACCAGGGGGCAACCCCCATCGTCATCTCTCCTTTCCCCCTCCTTCAAGGGGGGAACGGGACGGGGTGGATATTCCCCTCATCATGGCATCGGTTGCCCTGGCATGGAGCCCTGAGATCACCAACGCGTGCCCAATGTTCTGAAGCAATTGGGAGTGGCATTAAGCGTTCACCGTTGCGGAAGAACGCGGGCGCCATAGGAGGAGGAGGAGGAGGAGGAGGAGGAGGAGGAGGAGGAGGAGGAGGAGGAGGAGGAGGAGGAGGGGAAGGAGGGGAAGGACCAGGTGGATAAAAAGGCACGCTGGAGACCGTGCTCCCGTTGAAAATTGAGCAAGTTGGATTCCCGATGTCGATAAGCCCGTTGCACTGAATTCCTGTTGTCCTGGTCTCTGCTCGCTGCCGAACTTCCGCTCACCGCCGTCAGCGCCATTCGCAGCGTCTTGTAACCCTCGTCCGCCCAACCCCCAAAAAGCCGAAGATATGGCGTGCCTTGGTCCGAGCGGCACCAAGGACACTGTATGCACGGAAGGGAGAGCGAGGGGGGAGGACATAGAGGCAGCGAGCAGTATGGAAGGACTCTTGTTTTTTGTTTCTCGTAATGTCGACCACGCCCCGCGGAGCGGAGCGACACGCCATCCGCTTGCAAGCCATAGCGTGTCAGCGGGGCCGCCGCCGCCGCCGCGACACGCTAGGCAAACGTTCCTCACTGCATGTACTTCCCTAGCCGTTTTGGCGCAAGCAGTGCTGGCTCGGGCGACCGCGGACCAAGGGCGCGCGTCCGGTCCGATACATCTGCCCATGCCACTGCGCGCCACCGCCAACACAGCCACCCGGCGGGAGAGCGCCTGCGCCGCCGCCCTTGGGGCCTGGCCGGGACGGGGCGGCGCGGTCTCGGCGCGGCATGCGGCGCTGCTTCTGGTTGGCGGCTGCCCTCCTCCTGGTCTGCGGCGCGATCGCCTACGGCCTTGCCTTTGTACAGCTGCCAGGGCCTGCGGCCTGGGGCGCGGGCAGCTCGCCAGGCGTCGGCCCGCCTCCGGGCTCGCCCGAGCAGAGGCTCGCCGCGTCGGCCTCCCTGCCGGGCGCGGCGGAGGGCCGTCCTGCACAGCCCAGCGGCGCAGCCGCGGCCGGGCAGGCCCCGCCAGAGGAGGTGCCGAGCCAGGCCTTGGAGCGTGACGGCAGGCCCCCGGCCAGCACCGTTCGGGGGCCGTGGTGCGGCGCGCCGTATCCCCTGTTCGAGGACCGCGGGCTCTCGGAGGAGGCGCGCCTGCTCGTTCCCGCGCCCTTCTCCGCCGCCGCGGCGAGCCTCATCGCCCCGTCCAGGTGGCACCTGTCCAAGGGCCGGCAGCTCGAGCACGCCTGGAGCTTCCGCGTCGAATCCTGTGGCCCTGGGGAGCCTTGCCACTTTGTGGTCTTCGCCGAGCTGGACGCGGAGGCGGCCGCTCTTCCAGAGGTGGGCCCGCGGTACGACGTGGCTCTCCGTGGGCGCTCGTGGCCGCTGTGCGCCACGGGGGAGCCGTCAAGGACGCCCAGAGGCTTTAGCAGCCCGGCGAGGTGTGCGGTGATGGAGCCTGGCGGATACAGCCTCTCAGTCGTGGTCACATTCGAGCGCTTGGACCACGCGTGCATGCCAAAGAACGTCTGCGCTGGGGGCTGCGCGTGCCAGACTCTCAACTTGTCGTCGTCCAGAGTGACCTTCCGAGCTCTTGACACGGCGGCTGGCTCGCCTCCCCCTCCTGCCTCGCTCCCGCCTTGCGGGCCGTCTGGGCCAAGCCCAGCCGAGGGGCGGTGGGTACTGTGGGAGGGCGGGGACCCGCACAATTGGACGTGGTCTCCATGGCTCTGCAGCTTGGGGTGGGCGCGCTCCGTGGGGGAGCGCGACTGCCCTCGGATATGGCTCGTCGGCGACTCTCACATGGGTCAGGTTAATGCGAAGCTGGGCAGCTGGAACTGGACGCGCCCGAAGGACGTAATGCAGAGCTTCTACTTCCGCGGTTCTGGCATCTTCAAGCGCGACATCGCCCCCCGAGATTTCAATGACGTGGTCCAGCGCGCTGCCCGCGGCGATTGCAACGGCACACCTTACCCATATCCTCTCGAGGAGGGTGGCGTCAGCGGCGCTTTTTTGCACTACATGATGAAGCGTGTTCACGAGATGTCTGAGAACGACGTCGTCGTCCTTTCTGCAGGGAACTGGGATCTGCGCGACGATACCGTGGAGGCGTTCCTGGGCGACTTGGCTCGCTTCCTAGAGGCATCCAGAGCCCAGAGGAGTGAGATCAAACGGCGCGGGGCACGCGTATTCTGGCGCACGGCGCCCCCATATTCTTTCCACAAGAGCATGTGGCAAGGGCGCGAGGGGCGCACCAACGAGAAGCTGGCCGCCGCGAGCATCGGCGCCAAGGAGCTGGCGGCCAGGGAGGGCCTGGAGGTCTGGGACAGCTACCGCGTTCTGGCGGCGCGCTGGGACAGCCCCTGCGACACGCACCACTATCGAAGACGCTTGCAGCAACCCACCGCCGCCCCTGCCATCTGGAAACGCCTATCTGCGGCAACACGTTGGGCCAACGTCTGGTCAAGCTACTGGATTTTGTGTTCCCCCAGCCGTTGTGGACCCCCCTGGGGGAACTCTTGGGGGAGGAGGAGGAGGAGGAGAAAGGAGGGGAAAGGAGGGGAAGGAGGAGCGGGAGGAGAAGCGAAGGCAGAGAGGCAGAGAGGGAGGCGAAGGCGGACGAGGAAGAGGCCGAGAAGGCCTCATCGGGCCTTCCTGGGGCCTCAAGAGGGGGCTCCTGGGGGCCTCTTCGAAGCCTCTCGGGGGCCGTCTTGGGGCCCTCTTGCGGCGCAATAGGGCCGTCTTGAAGGTGTTCATGGGCGGTTTTGAGGGCCTCTCGTTGGGATCCTTGGGATCGCCTTGGGGCGATATTGGGGCCTTTTCGGTTGTTTTGGGCGTGCAGCCCGAACATGCGGGAACCCGAAAACTCGCTGAAACAAAAAATGGAATTGTGCTTTTGGGGATTATGGATGCCCTCGTGTAGCCCACTTGGGCCGTCTTCGGAGCTTCTAGGGCAATCTTGAGGCGATCGTGGGCAGTCGCTGGGGCCTCCGAGGCCTTATTGGGGACTATTCGAGCCATATGGAACCCGCTTGGTGCCATCTTGGCCGGCGTGGAGGCGGCTTGTACTGTCGTGGAGGCCGTTTGGGGGCCATCTTGTGCGGGAGAACAGTTGGAACGTCTGTTTTACGCGGCCTTCCTGGTGTCTGGCTGGATGAACCGAGCCCCGACGGGGAACCTTTAGTTAGAAGGGCAAACTAGAGCTCGAAAGCCCTGACCGCCAAGCAGCCCTTTGCAAGCAGAAGGGGGCGGCTGATCGAAGACGCCAATGCGGCCAAACCTACGGGGGGGGAACGCCTTGGAGAGAAAGTGAACGGAGGATGAGATGGAGGAGAAGGAGGACGATGAGGAGGAAAAGGCGGAGAAGGAGGAGGAGGATGAGGATGTTGAAATGCACTGCGATCGTCCCCTCTTTTCCATGTTGTCCTTGGCGGGCCCCGGATGTAGTTAGGCCCAGAGGGCCTAGTGATGTGTGTCGGGCCCGAGGAGGCCCCGATAGCCATCTGCCGCCGCTGACGCGCATCGTTCCGTAACCGTTCTGGCCCCGAAGAGCTCTTGAGCGCACGAGCTCACACCTGAAAAGTCTTCGACGGCGGCGGCCGTCACTTGATGGTGCCGGAGCTGGTCGATTCGCCCTCGGTCAGATCCCGCCTCCGCCGCGGCAGCGCGGAGGTGAACACGATCACGCCCCTGGCGAGGGCGGTGGTCATCTAACGGGGAGCTGGAGGGCATCCATGGCAAGGAGATTGTCGGTTCTTCATCGTGGTGGGCCTGGGCGGCTTGGCACACACCGGAAGCGGCGAACCTGACACGCTCAACGTGTGCAACACCGGCAGCGGCGAGCCTGACAACCTCGACGTGTGCATCAGTGCGACTGGAGCTATCGACGTGCTCAGCGTCCAGATGGCGAAGGTCAGCAAGCTGGAGTTCGAAAGGGACATCCTGCATCACGACGGTGACCCTGCACTCTCTGAGGAGTACCAAAAGAGAGCTCGTGACGCCTACTTGGGTCGCATGGGCGACGAGGAGCAGATCGCGATGCCGATCAACCTACGCAATGGCCTCAGTGGGACGGCCTACGACGCGGTGTGAGGCTTCCCGCTTGACCCACGCGCAGCTGTTGACCTTCGACGTCGAAGTGGTCGAGTGCGGCAAGGACGGCGCGAGCTACGAGAAGAAGCGAGCCAACACGGCTGGACTGGAGCTGCTACTGATGACGCTGGGAGAGCCTGTGATGAAGGAGCGACCTGTCAGGGCGGCGGATCTTTTCGACGGTGCGCTGTACGACAAGACGGTCTGGAGGGCCGCCGGCGAGAGCATGCAGGAACATATCACGAGGCGTTCGAAGGCGTTCGAGGACCTCAAGAAGGCAAGCGATAGTGCGACGATCAGCGACGACCTTCAGGCGCACCGGCTGCTGCAGTTCTCAGGGGTCGAG